ACATTTGTTGAAAAGACATCCCTTTCCTCCATTTAATTGCCTTAGTATCTGTCAAAAGTCAACTGCCTGTATTTATACGGGTATCACTCTCTATTATGTTTTATTGATCTAAGAGTCTATCTTTTCACCAGTACCAAATTGTCTTGATTACTGCACTGCAGCTCGATAAGTCTGGAAATCAGGTAGAAGAAGTCCTCTAACTTTTATCTTCTTTTTCAAAACACTTTGGTTATTCCAGGTCTTTCGTAATTCTATATGAATTTCAAAGTCAGTGCCACTTCCTTAAAAAAATCCTGCTGCGTTCAGATTCGAACTGCACTGACTCCTCAGATCAGTTTGGGGAGAACTGACATCTTGACAACACCGACTCTCCCAGTCCGTGAACGGGGTGCATCTTTCCATTTGTTTAGGTCCTGAATCCCCTCGGCAGTATCTGCAGCTCTTACAGTAAGGTCCTAGACTTCATTCGTTAGATTTATCCCTAGGCTTTCTACCTTATTTGGTACTGCTGCAAATGGGATTAAAACAAATTTTTCATTTTCCAATTGTTTGCTGCGAGTATAGAATTCAATTGGATTTTATATATTAACTTTTAAACCTGTGAACTTGCTAAATGCACTCCTTAGTTTTAGCAGTTGTCATGGATTCCCTTGGATTTTTTACATAAACAATCATGTCATCTGCAAATAGGGAGAGTCTCACTTCCTCCTTTCCAATCTTCATGCCTTGTATTTGTTTTTCATGCCTTATTGCAATGGCTCTGGCCTCCAGAACCATGTTGAACAGAGGTGGTGAGAACAGACATCCTTATCTCGTTCCCAGTCTCAGGAGGAAACACTTCAGTCTTTCCCATTAAATGTTATGTTACCTGTAGATTTTTTTGTGGATGCCCGTTATCAGTGTGAGGAAGTGTCCATTTATACCTGGTTTGCTAAAAGGTTTTTTGCTTTTCATCATGAATAGGTGTTGAATTTTGTCAGATCTCTCCTGTATTCATTGAAATGATTGTATGCTTTCACTGTACTTTAAATTTGCATTTCTCCTATTATGAGTGAGGCTGAGCATCTTTTTCTGGGTTTAAGAGCCATCTGTACTTCATTTTTTGTGATTTCTGGGTTCATGTCCTGCTAAGTTATTGGCATTTTCTTATTGCTTTCCAGGAGTTGCTTATATAATGAAGATATTTTATCCACGACATGAATTCACCTTCATTTCCAGTTTCATTTGTTTATTCTTTGTATTTATGGGTTTTTGCTGGTAGAAAAGTGGGATGTTTGCGTCACTGGAGTTTCCACTTCCTTCCTGGACAGGTTCTGGCTCTGACCCTGGAGCCTCCTTGTGGTGCCTTGACGCACCTGGCTCTGGGCTGAGGGTCCACCTTGGTCCTGACCCTGTTCCTCTCGGTAGTCTCAGCATACCATGGTGATCATAGCCTGGGGTTTTCCGGGGCCTGGAGACTGGCCGTCCTTCCTGGAGGGCAGGAGCTTCTGTCTCCAGGCCGGGGATACATCCCTCTCTGCGGAAGCAGCCCAGGAAGAAGAGAAGATTAGGCTACGCCTCCAGGCAGCACTTCCTGCCACAAGCGGATGCAGCGTCTGCTGTGCTGAAGACGCGGCCCGTGTCCCTCCCCCACGCATGAAGCCCTACTGCTGCCCCACATGACTCTCAGCTCAGCAGTCCCTGCCAGCCTGCCCCTTAGGACACTCTGACCTTGTCCAGCCTCCCAGCCTTTGCCTGGGCTGCACCCTCTGCCAGAAGTCCCCACACCTCCAGATCACTGTCCGGCTAATCTCACCTGTCCTTGGATTTCAGTACCCAAGTTACTTCCTCCAGGAAGCCCTCCTAGCAGCCTGGCCCGAAATGCCACTGAAACAGTGAATGGGTAATAGTCTGTTTATCCTCATGTCCCCCACTAGACTGTCAGCTCCACCAGACAGAGACCGGGTCAGCTCTGTCTGCTCCTGTGCCTCCAATGCCCTGCACACGGGAGGTGCCCAATAAGTGTCTGTGGGTGATTGAATTAAAGTCAACAAAATACAGACCAGAGCCATTTTTGTGCCAGGACTTGTGATGGGTTACAGAGATGAAAGAGCCCTCTGAAATCTAGCCCCAGGGCTCTGCTTTCTGGCGTCCGTATCCCACTAAGGACATTGTCCCAGGTCTCACCCCGACGCTGGCCCGGCCTCCTGCCTCCGTCACTCACGACAGCCTCCAGAGCATTAAGAAGACCACCAGGCAGCCCTGGCCCCTGGCCGCACTGCGTCCCTTCCCTCCTCGCCTCTTCCCGCCGTGCGCGCCTCCTCTCTGCTCCAGAACCGCTGAGCTCAGTCCTCCCTCACCGCCTCTGCCCTGCGGAGCCTCCCCCGCTGCGCTGCTTCCCCGGCCTGCTTCAGACCCCAGCTCGCTGCTGCCTGGTCTGCACAGGGTCTCTGGAGCTGGGCGCGGGCAGTGAGCACAGAGGGGCCGTCACCCCCCGAGAGAAGGGTCTATAGCAGGAATACCTCGAAGGGGAACTTGACCTTTGTCTGGGGCAACTTCCTCCCCTCCTTCCTGGGCAGATCCAGCCGAATTCCCTTCCCTGGGTGCAAAATTCGTTCTGTTGGGTGCCCAACCCACGTATGCCACAGATGGGTAAACTGAGGCTGGAGGAACTGGGGCGTTGAGTCTGGAGCCTGCTGAGCCCCCGTGTGACCCGGGCCCTTCTCGGTGCTGGCACGCCCTGCCTTCCGTCTAGGGTCTCCAGCCGCCTAGCTGAGCAGGGCCAGTGCTGCAGAGGCTTCCGGAACTTTCTGCGTCTCGCCTCCCCACCCCCGTCGCCCACATGGCCATGACTTTCAATAAGTGACAGCGGTTCAGGAAGCCGAGGGGCCCCACACAGGAAGGAGCCGAGTGGGACTTTCCTCCGGCTGCCGCGGGGCTCTGCCCAGTCGTCCTCGGCCAGGCGCCCAGCCTCCAGGTAAGAGCTGCTGGCCGGGCCGGGCCGGGCGGGGGCGCGGGGTGGGGGCCACAGGGAAGGTCGAGGCTGCGGACAAAGGCCGGTTCACCTTCCAGGCCTCCGAGGAAAGCTGCCAGACGAACGGAAAGCTGCCAGACGGACGTGAGCTGGCGCGGCTGGCTGTGCGGCCTCTGGCAAACCGCTCCCCTCTCTGGGCTCCCACTTTGTCCGGCTAAAAAGAGGCCTCCCATTCCCAGCAATCCGGCCCTGAATGAATCATTGCTCATGTCCGGGAGCTCGCGAAGGGGTGGGGGGGGGGGCGCCCTGAGCAGACAGCTCCCGCCCCACCCTCCCAGCCCCCAGGCCGGAGCGTGGGGTGACCAGCCATCCAGGGATGTGGGAATTTTGGTGTTAAAACGCGGGCATTTTCTATTTTTTTCTTTCTTTTTTTTTTTGTGTGAGGAAGATTGTCCCCGAGCTAGCACCCGGGCCCATCTTCCTGTATCCCGTATTGGGACGCCGCCACAGCGGCGCGTGACGCGCGATGTGTAGGTCCGCGCCCGAGATACGAACCCGTGAACCCCAGGCCCCCGAAGGAGGCGAGAACCTAGCCGCGGCGCCGTCGGCTGCCCCAGCGTGGGCATTTTTCTGGGCCCCGAACACCACCTCTGACTTTCTTTTTTTTCGCTTTCGATAGTTTTTTAAAAATCCTATTTCTTTAAGATTTATTTTGAACGGAAGACACGCGCGGTGATTCTGTTTATATCAAGCGCGAAGACGGGCAACTTGAGCCCGGCTGTTAGCAGTAGGACAGTGGTCACCTCTGTGGGCAGTGACAGGGCCCCCAGGGCTGCGGGTGTTTCCACTCCTGGGCGGGGAACTGGGCATACCGGGGTGTCCCCGGGGGGGCAGCCCTCTGCCCGCGCCGCCCCCGCGGTGGCCGCCACTCCGCGCCAAGGGCACTTCCTGTCTGCTTTAGCGGCGTCTGTGCAGCGCTGGGGGCCGAGTCTCAAGGACGGTGCCAGTTACTGCGCACTAAAGGCAGGGACGCCTCAGGCTGGGCTCAGCAAGCCGTGTCGCCCAGGAGCAAAGGGAGTCAGCCTGTCCGCAGCCGGGGTCCCGCGGCCGGGATATGGGGGCGCTGGGGTCTGAATCCAGAGCCTGCGCTCTTCACCAACCCCCAGGCCCCGCGTTATAATCTGGGTGTGTTGAAACCTCTTTAATACTGCACCCTCCACCCCCTACTGTTATCTTGGAGCAAAGATTTTACCCAACACCCGCTTTGTATCTTCTTCATTCAGGTCAATTTAAGTGGATCTTGTCCATCTGCCCTCTTTTCCTCACTGGGCTGGAACAAACCCAACCCTTCTCCTGCCTAGCCAGGGGTCCCGAGCTCCGGAGTCCCCCAGGGTGGGAGAGAGCTGGCCGTTGGCAGGAGTCAAACTCCTGGGAGGAAGAGGGGCAGCTTCCCCCTGGGCCCATCCTACGGAGGGCTTCCTGCTGTGGGGGCCTAGGTGGGGGCAGCGACCGAGGGGACAGAGATGGGAGGGGTGGGGGCGACAGACACAGAGACCGTTGTTGACTAAGTCATCAGTCTGGATCTGCCCCTGCGCACACCTCACACCGGGTGCAGAAGCTTCCAGACCGACCCACAGGGAGTGACCAACCACCATGCCCAGGAGCTGGTACCCATTTGTACGCCTGTGATTGATTGTTCACGCCTGCCTGGGTTCAGGGGCTGGAAGCAGGGATGTGTGGAGGCTGCAGATTGACTGGAGATGTCTGCCCTGGGCACAGATGAGATTGTGGGGTGTGAGCTCACACAAATTTGGGTGCAGAATATCTTCCGGTCCCAAGCCCAGCCCTCACCTGGGGTTTATGTCTCCTCACCCACCTTGCACACTCAGCTTCCTCTCTCCATCTCTGTCTTTTTCTCTCTGCATGTCTCTGTCCTTCTCTCCTCCCTCTTTTTCTGGCACCATCCTTACCCCACCCGGCACCTGCTCTGCCCCCCACCCCGAGCTGTGTAGCCTGGCAGAACTGAAGGTGGCCTCTGTGTGTCCAGGCAGGCTGTGCTCATGGAGCCACCAAGCGAGGAGACGCCCCTGATCGCTCAGCGCTCCTGCAGCCTCTCGTCTTCAGAGGCCGGTGCTCTGCATGTGCTGCTGCCCCCTCGGGGCCCTGGGCCCCCGCAGCGCCTATCCTTCTCCTTTGGGGACCATTCAGCTGAAGAGCTGTGTGTTCGGGCTGCTAAGGCCAGTGGTGAGTATCTCCCTAGAAGGCTGGCCAGAGGGAGGGCTCAGGTTGGGAGAGGGAATAGCTGCCAAGTGAAGCCGGCATCGGAGCTGGGGCTCTGAGAGGGCGTAGGAGTTTGGTAAAGGAGGAGGGTGCGCAGGGAATGGCACATGCGGAGTCTCAGAGGTGGCACGGCTTATCAGCGGAAACGGTGGTCATCGCTCGGGGCCAAATGTGCAGTGGAAAGAGATGCTCCAGGGAGAGGGGCAGGGACCCTGAGAAGTAGGCTGAGTGCATGTCTTCTCTCCTAAGGGCAATGGGGAGCCCCAGAGTGTGTGTGAGCAGGGGTGGGACATGGTGTCAGAGCTGCAGGTGAGAAAGAGCCTGCGGGGCTGCATGGGGGGACCGGACGGGGAGCTGACGGGGAGCTGACGGGGGTGTTCCCTCAGCCATCCTGCCCGTGTACCACTCCCTCTTTGCTCTGGCCACCGAGGACCTGTCCTGCTGGTTCCCCCCAAGCCACATCTTCTCTGTGGAGGATGCGGGCACCCAGGTCCTTGTCTACAGACTCCGGTAGGAACGACCCTCCCCGTGACACAGAGGTGGGCCGCCTTTTGCTGGGGGCTTAAGAAGTGGGCGTGGAAAACCGCAGGGACCCTGAAACCCTGTGATCTCCCCGCACCTCTTAGTGGGTGCCTGGCGGGCACTGCCCATTTCACAGATGAGAAACTGAGGCCAGAGACGATGGGTTGCCTGCCCAAGGTCACACAGCAACTCAAGGTCACAACCTGGGCTCAGCGAGGTCTTGCCACAGTCCTCTCCCTCCCCATGCCCCTACTCCAGGGATCTCCCCTCTCCCCACAGCTTTTACTTTCCCAACTGGTTTGGGCTAGAGAAGTGCCACCGCTTCGGGCTACGAAAGGACTTGGCCAGCGCCATCCTTGACCTGCCAGTCCTGGAGCACCTCTTCGCGCAGGTAGGGGCTGCGTGGGGCTCAGCCCAGGGGTGGGGTCCGCAGGGCAACATCAGGGCTCCCGGTTGGGCGGTCTCAGCTGATCCTCCCTGCGGCAGCCCAGGAGTGGGGCCTTGGCCCGGGGCGGGGGTTTGCAGGGTGACATCAGGGCTCATGTTGGGCTGTGACTGGCCCCCAGCACCGCAACGATCTGCTGAGCGGCCGCCTCCCCGTGGGCCTTGGCCTCAAGGAACAGGGCGAGTGTCTCAGCCTGGCCGTGCTGGACCTGGCCCGGATGGCCCGTGAGCAGGCGCAGCGGCCTGAAGAGCTGCTGAAGACCGTCAGGTGAGGGCTTCCAGGCTGTGGTGCCCAGCCTCTACCTGGGAGTGAGCGAACGTGGCTCCACCAGGCCCCCCATGTAGGGGCTCCCCACCTACGAGCCTGGAGCCTGCAGTGCGTCCGCGTGACCCAGCCCCCCTCCCCCACCCCCCACCCCCGGGGAGACTCCAGTGCCCCGCCTCCTGCAGCTAAAAGGCCTGTGTGTGTCCTGTCTGTCCTGTGGGCCCCAGTGACCCTCCCCACACTGAGGTCCTTCCCGCATGTGTGCCCCCCAGTGTGTCTCCGTGTGCGCCTCCTGCCCCCACACTGAGGCCACACCCCAGCCCCTCAACTAAAGCCTGGGTTGTGTGTCCTCGTCCGGCCCTGAGGAGGCCCCTCCCCGCACTAAGGGCCCGCTCCCCCGCTCGCAGCTACAAGGCCTGCCTGCCCCCCGGCCTGCGCGATCTGATCCAGGGCCTGAGCTTCGTGACTCGGAAGCGTATCCGGAGGACCGTGCGCCGGGCCCTGCGCCGCGTGGTCGCCTGCCAGGCTGACAGGCACTCGCTCATGGCCAAGTACATCATGGACCTGGAGCGGCTGGACCCGGCCGGGGCCGCCGAGACCTTCCTCGTGGGCCTCCCCGGGGGTGCTGGTGGTCAGGACGCGCCCGGGCTGCTCCGCGTGGCTGGTGGCAGCGGCATTGCCTGGAGCCCGGGCGGAGACGAGGTGCGGGCGGCCGCTGGGCGGGCCGAGGGGCGGGGCTGCGAGGAGGCGGGGACGAAGGAGGGGCGAGGCTGTGGGGGGCTCCGCGAGGGCCCGGCGGGGCGGGGGCGGAGCTCACTGGGGGTCGAGGGAGGAGGCGGGAGCGGCTGGGAGATATTTGGGGATGGGCGGGGGAGGGGACTGAAAGAAGGGGCGGGGCGGGGCTGAGGGGGGCGGGGCTCGCGGGACCCCCAACCTCAGCCGTCCCTCTCCTCCCCAGGCCCTCCAGCCCTTCTGCGACTTTCCAGAAATCGTGGACATCAGCATCAAGCAGGCCCCGCGCGTTGGCCCGGCCGGGGAGCACCGTCTGGTCACCGTCACCAGGACAGACAACCAGATCCTGGTGGGTGCTGGACCCTCCCCTCCCGCCTGACCCCGAGGGCGGGGACGCGGGACCGGCGCCCCTGGGCCGCAGCGGGCGCTGACGCGGGTCCCCGCAGGAGGCCGAGTTCCCGGGGCTGCCCGCGGCCTTGTCCTTCGTGGCGCTCGTGGACGGCTACTTCCGGCTGACAGCCGACTCCCGGCACTTCTTCTGCAAGGAGGTGGCGCCCCCGCGGCTGCTCGAGGAGGTGGCCGAGCAGTGCCACGGCCCCATCACGTGAGGACCCGCCCCCAGGCCCGCCCTCAGCGGCCGACCCACCCGGTCCGAATCGCGGTGCCTCCCCGCGTGGCGCCTCCGTGTCCTCGCCTCCCTGGACGAGGGGCAGGGGCTTGACCGGCGCCTGGTGCAGAGGCGGCGCGCAGTGCGGCAGGGCCGCCGCGTCCCTCTCTCCGACCCCGCGGGGCCCCAGGGCGTTTCCTGGGGATGCTCGGCGCCGGCTTCACCTGCAGCCTCTAGTTTGATCCCCGGGCAGAAGCCCCGACTTCCAGCTCACTTCATAAGTGGGGAGGAGAGAGGGAATGGCACCTGGGGAAGGTCCCAGGCCTCAGAGAGACCAGGATTAGACCCAGGCCCAGCTGGATGACTCTGCCTCCGTCTCTCTGTCTCTCTCTGTCTCCACTCTCCTCTCTCACCTTTCCCCACAGCCTGGATTTTGCAGTTAACAAGCTCAAGACTGGGGGCTCGCTTCCGGGCTCCTACGTTCTCCGCCGCAGTCCCCAGGATTTTGACAGCTTCCTCCTCACTGTCTGTGTCCAGGTCGGTCCACCACCACAGACCTGGGGGGCAGGGAGGGCTTCCTGGAGGAGGTGACATTGGAGCTGAGACCTGAAAGATGTAGGCATTTGCTCCCTGAAGAAGGGGAGGGAAAAGGCATTCCCGGTGGAGGGAACAGCATATGCAAAGGCTTGGAGGTCAGAAGAGCCTGTGGTGCTTGAGGAAGAGGTAGTGAAGACAGGGTGCTGCCCTCACCCTCTCAGGGGTCACTCCTCCTCGCAGACCCCCCTGGGCCCTGATTACAAGGGCTGCCTCATCCGGTGCGACCCCACGGGAACCTTCTCCCTGGCTGGCCTCGGGCGTCCCCATAGCAGTCTTCGAGAACTCCTGGCAGCCTGCTGGGATGGTGGCCTGCATGTGGACGGAGTCGCGCTGAACCTCACCTCCTGCTGCACCCCTAAACCCAAAGGTGAGCTTGCCCGCTTCCCTAAGCTGAGCGATCGATCTGGGGCCCTGCCTTTCTGTGTGTGGCATAGCTTTTCTGTGGCAAGTGGTGGAGACTGCAGGCCAAGGTGGTTTGGGGAAGGAAAGGTGACTTGTTTGCTCATCAGATAGAGGCTGCCTTCAGGCATGGCTAGATCCAGGCACAGCTGGAGCCAAGTGATGTCACTAGCACTTAATCTCTCTCGAGCTCTTGCCTCTTCTTGGGTGAATTTCACTTTCAGACAAACCCCTGGGAACGACTCTGAGGTGTGAGTTCTCCAGAGTCCCCCACAATCCCTAGCAGGACTGACACCAGGTTGCCCACAGCATCTCCTGCTCATTGGCGCCCCCTTCAGGGTTCTTTCCCTCTGTCTCATTCCCCTCCCGCCCACTGTGGCTTCCTGGAGTCTCCTGTCAAGTAAACCATGTCCCCTTGAGTCCTCAGCCCAAGGTTGGCTTCTGGGGGAGACCCCCAAACTAGGCTAGGGAGCCAGCAACCCTTTGATAACCTTTCACCTCTGACCTCTGGCCTTCTTCCTCCACTCCCTCCCTGTAGAAAAGTCCAATCTGATTGTGGTCCGGAGAGGGTGCACCCCACCCACGCCATCCCTGGTTCAACCCCCATCCCGCTGCCAGCTGAGTCAGATGACGTTTCACAAGATCCCGGCTGACAGCCTGGAGTGGGTAAGAAGCCCCAGGAAATGGGGGCGGGACCATAGTTGGGGTTCAGAGACCCAGTCTACATCCACGTCTGCTGTGTGGCCTCAGACATGTGACGTAACATCCCTGTGCTCCTGGTTCCCCATCTGTAAGATGGGGCCAGCGCCTGTGCTTGTGCGGGCCAGCTCAGGGGCTGGGACCCTGCGGGAGACCCCTTCTTCACCTCTCCTGCTGCCCCCTCACCCTCCAGCACGAGAACCTGGGTCATGGGTCCTTCACCAAGATTTACCGGGGTCATCGCCACGAGGCCGTGGACGGGGAGGCCCGGGAGACAGAGGTGCTGCTGAAAGTGATGGATGCCAAGCACAAGAACTGCATGGAGGTGAGTGGGGTGGGGTCGGGGGCAGGCCTCTGGGGTCAGGGTTGGTTGGAGAGAGGGTCATGGATTCAGGGAAATTTAAAACCACACAAGGTCTTAAAACAACAGAATTGTAGCCACAGCATTTCCAAACCATGAAATTTGGAAGGGTTGGGGAATTTAGATGCAAATAGAAAGAGTACACCAGAGAGAGGGAACAGCCAGTGCAAAGGTCCTGAGGCAGGGCCGAGCTTGGCATGTTTAAGGAACAGCGAGGCCAGTGGGCCAGAGAGGAGGGAGCAAAGAGAGAGGGGAGTGATGTGGAGGGGTCACCAGCAGGGACCACCCAGGGGAAGTCTGCAGCCCATCTCAAACCCCAAATCTCCCGCTTCTGTGAGAGACTCAAAGTAAACTACAGTGGGGACTTGCAGCCTCATCGGGACATCATGAGACAGTGTGGCGGGTACTAGTGGTGAACTCCAGGGCCACAGCAGGCTGTGGGCAGGTCTCCTCCTCAGGAAGCCTTGTGAGCAGCAGGGCTGGGGTTCTTGGTCTGACCACAGAGTGGGAGGGGCCCACGCCTCTTCTCTCCCTTCTCCCGCTCCCAGTCGTTCCTGGAAGCAGCGAGCTTGATGAGCCAAGTGTCCTACCAGCACCTCGTGTTCCTGCATGGCGTGTGCATGGCTGGAGACAGTGAGCGCCCCGCCCCGCCCCGCCCCACCCCGCCCATCCGTGCAGCATTAGCAACCCGCATCCACCAGGCTCCCGCGCCCTGTGCCCCTGTTCCTCAAGCGCCACTCCTTGGGCAGCAGCTCCAGGCTGCCCTGGTACCCAGCCCTCCAGAGTTGTCTCAGTCAGACAGACCCAGGTTCCAGTCCTGCTTGGCTGTGTGCCGCCTGCACCGCGGCAAGGGCCGCGTCACTCGCCAAGCCTCGGTTCCATCAGCTCAGCTCAGGAGCCCAGAGCGCCACCTGTGCCGCCTGGACAGGCTGACAGAGGCTTGCGTGGGGGCAGCGCAGGGCTCGGGGGTCGGGGGTGGGGTCGGAGGTCGCTGGCCCAGCTGGGTGGCGGGCACTCACCCTGGGAAGGCAGGATGAATAGGAGTTAGGGAAGAGAGGGCAGAGGGAGGTTGGAGCAGAAGACACAGGACATGCAGAGGGCAGGACATGGCTTTGGAGCGTGCTCGGCCCCTCCCGGGCATTATTTCAGGCAAATGGTCCCAAGAGGGGCAGGGGGAGGAGAGGCAAGTAGGGCAGGAGGAGGAGCAGGCAGCGAGCAGTCAGAGTGGAGTTGGAGGGACCCCTGAGGGGTGGTGGGGACGGAGCCTGATGAGCAGAGAGCAGTCCTGCCTCCCAACCCCACCCTCCTTGCTGCCACCAGGCATCATGGTGCAGGAATTTGTCCGCCTGGGGGCGCTGGACACATATCTGCGCAAGTGTGGCCATCTGGTGCCGGCCAGCTGGAAGCTGCAGGTGATCAAACAGCTGGCCTATGCCCTCAACTATCTGGTGAGTGCTCCTCTGCCTGCTCCACCCTCCATTCACACAGAGGATGGGTAATTGAGATGGGGCTCTGTAGTATGGATAGGAGTTTGGCAAGGGTGCAAGCGGAGGGTATTTTAGACGGAGGCAACAGCATAGGTACAGGTTCAGAGGTATAAGAGCAGAAGAAAGGAACAGCCACGTTCATCATCAGAAGAAAGGTTGTCCACAGGTCTCAGGGGGAGTTGGGAGCAAGGAGGCTGGGCAAGGCTTCTCAGAAGAGGAGTATTGGAGCTGGGGCCATAAAGGTTGAGCAGGAGTTCATCAGGAGGAGAAAGAAAGGAGGGCATGTCAGGCTGAGGAAACAGCCTGGGCAAAGGTCCGTGGCTTAGAGGTGTGTCACGTGCCCTGGGGTGCATCAGGCAGCTCAGTGGGCAGGAGACCAGGGTGGGGCACGAGAGAAGGGAAGAGAGAAGCTCATGGGAAGAGTGAGCAAGGGCTGGATCTCAAAGGGCCTTGAATGCCAGGCTGAGGACCTGAAGGCCGTGGAGAGCCACGGTGTGGGGAGCACTGTTTAAGAAGGGGAGGGACAGGGTCAGGTCAGCATAGAGGGTGGACTAGAGGAGGCAAGACAGGCTGCCAGTGGTCTAGGGAAGATGCTGGCATATGTCTGAGTGCTACCAGGTGGGCTTTGAAGTATGTGTAGGAGTTTGCCAGCCAGAATACTCATTCATCAAACCCTCCCTGGCATTTCCCTGTGCCTGGCCTTCTTAGGAAGACAAAGGCCTTCCCCATGGCAATGTCTCAGCCCGGAAGGTGCTCCTGGCTCGGGAGGGGGCTGACGGGAGCCCGCCTTTCATCAAGCTGAGTGACCCTGGGGTCAGCCCTGCTGTGCTAAGCCTGGAGAGTAAGTATGGGGGTGGAGGAGGGAGGAGCCTGGTGGGGCAAGGATGCAGATCCCTGACCACATCCCCCGCCCCAGTGCTCACCGACAGGATCCCCTGGGTGGCCCCTGAGTGTCTCCAGGAGGCACACACACTTGGCTTGGAGGCTGACAAGTGGGGCTTCGGTGCCACAGTCTGGGAGGTGTTCAGCGGTGTCACGATGCCCATCAGCATGCTGGACCCCGCCAAGGTCAGAGCACCAGCAGGGGCCTCTGGAGCCCCCATCTGCCAGAAGGGTGGGCTGAAGTCCAGCTGGGGGAGGCTGGGCGGGTGGGTCTGGGGGGCCTCCTGAGGGTACCCTGGGGCTGACCAGCCCTCCTCCCGCCCTCAGAAGCTCCAGTTTTACCAGGAACGGCAGCAGCTGCCAGCCCCCAAGTGGACGGAGCTGGCGCTGCTGATCCAGCAGTGCATGGCCTACGAGCGGGGCCTCAGGCCCTCCTTCCGCGGCATCATCCGTGACCTGAACAGCCTCATCACCTCAGGTGGCCGCTGGGCCGGACGGGGTGGGCAGGGCTGGCCCGTCACACGGGGCCCCAGGGGAGAAGGCCACGGCTGCACACAGAGCCTGCCCCTTGCGCCTGGCAAGGTTGGGGCGGTTGGAGACTGTGATGGTCAGCATGAGCCCGACAGCTGCTGTGACAAACGGGCCCCACAGCTCCAGGTTGAGCATGACGGATGTTTAGTTCTCATTTGATGAGGGCATCCAGGTCAGCAGGCAGCTCTCCCTTTGTGGCTCCACCCACCCCGTGGCCTCAGGTGCCTGTGGGATCCTTTGCGGGCAGGAGAGAGAGTGTGGGTCCCAAGCTAGGTTGCTACAGGCCACGCCTGAAGGGGCCCCTGGCAGGTCTCCCCATCAGCCTGAGCTCAGTCATGCGAGCGACCACATCTCACAGCAGTGGAGTCTGGGAAATGCCCTTCTGTCTCCATAAAGTACCCTTTGACTTGCAGTGGCTTTGCCACAATGCACAGAAAGGGTAAGCATGCAGATCGAGGCCACACAGCAAGTCAGCCTAGGAGCTGGGCCCAGGGCCAATGCAGGGCTTGCTCACTGCCTGGGCTCCCCAGATTATGAGCTCCTCTCGGACCCCACTCCTGGTGCCCTGGCGCCCCGTGACGGGCTGTGGAATGGCGCCCAGCTCTATGCCTGCCAGGACCCCACCATCTATGAGGAGAGGCACCTCAAGTACATCTCGCAGCTGGGCAAGGTGAGGGGGGCCCAGGGGGGTGCGGCGGGGCGGCACCCGTGCACGTGAACACCAGCCCCGCTGTCCCCCAGGGCAACTTCGGCAGCGTGGAGCTGTGCCGCTATGACCCGCTGGGTGACAACACAGGCGCCCTGGTGGCCGTGAAGCAGCTGCAGCACAGCGGGCCAGAGCAGCAGAGGGACTTCCAGCGGGAGGTCCAGATCCTGCGAGCCCTGCACAGCGACTTCATCGTCAAGTACCGCGGCGTCAGCTACGGCCCAGGCGAGCCTCCTGAGGGCCTGCCCTCACATGCCGCATCCTCCTGCAGGGCCATTTCAGGGCGCTGGGAACACCAGCGGGGGCGCTCGGGGCGCTCCGGCTTATCCAGATCCAGGGCGCGGGGGTAGGGTTCCAGCTCTGTCCCTTAGCAGCTGGGTGACCTCGGGCAGGCAATTTAACCTCTCTGAGCGTCAATTTCCGCACCTGAAACATGAGCCATTCTGGAGTCTAGAGACCTTAGCGGTAAGGGTCACTGTTGCCTTCCCATTTCATAGACAGCAATTACTGAGGCGGGCGGGCCCAAGGTCCCCTCGGAGGGCCGCGGAAGGATGGGGAGGCGGAGGAGACAGAGCGGCCGCGGTGACTCCTGCCGCCTCTCGCCTCCCGCAGGCCGCCAGAGCCTGCGGCTGGTCATGGAGTACCTGCCCAGCGGCTGCCTGCGCGACTTCCTGCAGCGGCACCGCGCGCGCCTCCACGCCGGCCGTCTGCTCCTCTACGCCTCGCAGATCTGCAAGGTGCGGGGCCGCGGGCAGCGCGGGCGGCTGAGGGCTGCAGTCTGGGCTGCAGGTCGGGTCGGAGGTGGGGCTGAGTGGGCGAAGGTCAGGACCGCGGAGCAGCATGCCTCAGGACAGGGTTAGGCTTAGGCTTGGGGTCTCGGTGGGGGTGGGGGTGGACTCCAGGTCAGGCTTGGGGCCCCTGCCCAGTCATCCTGGGGTCCGTCCCCATGCCCGCCCGCAGGGCATGGAGTACCTGGGCTCCCAACGCTGCGTGCACCGCGACCTGGCAGCTCGGAACATCCTGGTGGAGAGCGAGACGCACGTCAAGATCGCCGACTTCGGCCTCGCCAAGTTGCTGCCGCTCGACAAAGACTACTACGTGGTCCGCGAGCCCGGCCAGAGCCCCATTTTCTGGTGGGGACGCCGCCCCGGCTCCGCGCTCCTCCCCACCCCGGGCCCCTCCTCCGCACTGTCCTGGCCCCGCCCCCCGGCCTTGCCCCTCCCACGGCCCCGGCCTCTCCAGGCCACGCCCCGCCTCCTGGTGCGCTGGCTCCGCCCACCCCGAGTCTGGCCCCGCCCCCAGCCACGGCTCCACCCTGACCCCGCCGGGGTCGCGCCCTCGCCCGCCGCAGGGTTGGAGAATCCCCTCGTCCCACAGTCAGGGAAGCTGAGACCCAGCAGCTGGGCCGACCTCACAGCCCCCGCCCACCCTGACCAGCGCCCCCCGCCGGAGGCTGCCCCTTCCCCGCCCTCTGCCCCGCCCTCGCATCCCAAGGCCTGCCTGGCCCTCCAGGTACGCCCCAGAGTCGCTCTCCGACAACATCTTCTCGCGCCAGTCGGACGTCTGGAGCTTCGGGGTGGTCCTGTACGAGCTCTTCACGTACAGCGACAAGAGCTGCAGCCCCTCGGCCGTGAGTCGGCGCCCCCGGGGCCCAGCACCCTCCTCCCCCGCCCCTTTCGTGGCCAGTCCCTGCCCGGCCAGTGCCCGCGGCCCCGCTTTGCTGAGGGTGCCCTGGTCCCAGCATCGGAGGCCCCAGTGGGGAGGGTCCGCTTGCCGAGGCTGACCCCTGCCCACCGCGCGCTCCCTCCGCAGGAGTTCCTGCGCATGATGGGCTGTGAGCGAGACGCCCCGGCCCTGTGCCGCCTCCTGGAGCTGCTGGCCGAGGGCCAGAGGCTGCCCGCGCCTCCTGCCTGCCCCGCCGAGGTGAGCGCTGCGGGGTCAGCCTCAGTTTCCCACTCTGTAGGTTCCCCTTGGGTCTTGGCCAAGCGAGCTGGGCCCTCTGGGCCTCTTGCTGGAGAGCATGAGCCGGGGCCCGAGGCCCGAGGGGCCTGGCCTCTGCCTTGCTGCTCTTTCGTTGTACGGCAAGTCACACACGCTTTCAGAGCCTCGGTTTGCCTACCTCCAAAACGGGGATAAGAGTGCCTTACCGGTGCAGGGGCCAGAAGAGCTAACGCCTACCCGGTGCTGGGCTCCCCGCCCCGCACACCGTCGGCATTCACTGTGTGGTGCTGGCGCTTCCGGTTTATCATCACAACTTTTGCAGAGGTGTCTAACATGTGGTTGGTTATTCATCAGTTAATTTGCTCAGGCCACAAACACGTATTGAGCGCCAACTGTGTGCCGGGCTCTGAGGAGACAGAACAGACACTACTCTGTCCTGGTAATCAACAGAGGCTAACGAGAGCATGCTGGTGGCGATCACTGTCTGCAAAGATGACCAGGAGGAGATGATGGGGGAGTCAGGGAGGGCCTCTCAGAGGGTTTGATGCCTGGAGGAGGAGGAACCCACGCATGAGGAAAGCTAGGAGAGGGCATTTTCAGTGGAGGACACGGCAGGTGCAAAGGCCCTGAGGTGGGAATGAGCTTGGTGTATTTGAATAACGAGATGGGAGCGGATGTGGCTGCCTGGGACAAGCAGGAGGTGATGGAGGGAGGGAGGCAGAGGATGGGATGAGGTTTAGTTCTGAGTCAGCCACGGGAGGCTCTGGAGCAGGGGAGAGACAGTCTAATTTATATTTTAAAACTGTGAACAGGAGTCATGTCCTTCCCACTACTCACAGGTGACCCTGTTGTCTCCTCCCACCCCTTCAGGTTCATGAGCTCATGAAGCTGTGCTGGGCCCCCAGCCCACAAGACCGGCCGCCGTTCAGTGCCCTGGGCCCCCAGCTGGAGGCGCTGTGGAGTGGGAGCCGGGGGTAGCAGCCGTAGCCTTCCCTGCTTGTTGGGGGAGAAGCCGGCTCACTGTCATTTCCTATCTCCTGCACATAGACCTCCGGGTTCTGGTATCCATGGACTGGCTGTGTGACCTTGGGCAGGGAGCTGCCCCTCTCTGGGCCTCTGCTTCATAGAGACCCCCATGCGGCAAGTGACATTGCATTGGGGGTCACCCCTGGCTTGGGGAACAACAGCAGCCTTGTGGCCTTTGGAGCTTGTAAAGATTCAAGACACATGCACCGGTGGGGCCCGCTGAGCCCGCCCCCCCGGAATGGAGACTGCGAACTGAAACTCCCGTCTGTGCCTCCTCCCCAGGCCGCTGGAGCTTCCTGCCTCTTTTCCGGTGGGGACGTCCCACAGATTGTGTCTCCTCTCAGGCCCCCGCCCCCCGCCCCGCTCGCTGGAGGAAGCCAAGGGCAAGACCACTGCCTGGTCGGAAACTAGCTTTTGGGAGAGACTGTGTGACGGTTTGGGGCCGTGCACGGGGCTGGGGGAGGCTGGGGTCCCAGCACACCCTAACTGTGCCTGTGTTGTGGGACTGCAGTTTCCCCGCCCGTCCCCTGGCGCCCTTTCTGTCCTGACTTGAGAGTCACTCAATTGATGACACTGGAGCCTGACAAGAGCTTTTCAGCAGTGGAGGGAAGGAAAGGCATTCTTGGCAGAGGGAACAGCATGGCGAGAGTGAGGAGCTTCAGAGTATAGAGGTTAAAAGCCCACGTGTCAGAGCCCATGGTTCTGTCACTTATTTGCTGAGTGACAGTGGGCAAGTTGCTTCCCCTCTCTGGGCCTCAGTTCTGTCCCGTGTACAAGGGGCAGAGCAACAGTGCTGTGCAGAGTCAACTTCTGGGGCTTGTGAGAAGGTGCCTTGTGCAGGCTGAGCCCCCATCACTCACTCACCTGCCTGCAAGGCTTTGCTGCCGCTTTTGCCTTCCTGGAAAACTCTTATTCATCTCTCAAAACGCCAGCTCTCACCTCCCTGCAGCCTTCCCTGGCATGCTCTCACCGCTCCCCACCAGCCCTGTTCTTCCCTCTGATCCTAGGTCTAGGGTGATGTCCGTGTCCGGCTTTGTCTCCTCTGACCTGGAGGCTCTTGGGGACGGGGCTGGGGTGGACACAGAGGGGACTCGGAGCGTTTGATGACTGAATAAAGGAGTTGAGTGGAAAGAATGGTTTGTGCTGGACTTGGGTGTTGGGGAACCTTGGGGGGGTGAGCTGGGGAGGAATGTAGGTAGGGACCCATGGGGGCCACAGTGGGGTCTGGGGGCAGCCTGGGGAGGCCGGACAGCAGGGCGGGGCACTGGCCCGGGCCCTGGAGGACGGCAGCCTTCCCGCCCGCAGCTGCTGGCCTTGGCTCTGTCCTGGGGAGCTGATTACAGGCTCCGGGTGGCTGGAGGGAACAGGCTGCTCTGTGGGGTCAGAGGGCAAGGCTGGGTGGGAGGTCTGGGCTGTGGGCAGGGGTCCAACATGGGGGCGCGAGTGTCCTGCGTGCGCCTCAGGACTGTGGGCGTGGGGTGCAGAGCGACGGCGAGCAGGGGAGGCCCACGTCGGGAGAGCGCGCACCTGGTGGGGACTCGGGGCCACCCCAGGCTCCGCAGGCAGGCTTTCAGCTCAGGCGCCCGGCCCTGGGCCGCGCGTCTTCCTTGCTCTCTGCCTTAGTTTCCCTCCTTGCTAAAATGGGGTCGAAAGGCCTCCTGGGCACCAGGCTGGCCTAAGGAGATGCTGGGCGATCGCGCCAGCTTTATTCTCTGCGCTCCAGCAGGCCAGCCCAGGAGACCCTGATGTGGGAGAGACAGTGCCAGCCACCCCCCGCCCCCGCCTCGTGTCCTGGGGCCTTGGGCAAGCATGGGGTCCTCTTGAAGCCTCAGTTTCCTTCTTTGTATGGGAATAAGGACAACTGGTCTGGATGTTCCTGGTCTCCCTTGGCTGGGTGCGCTCACACCTCCCGGAATGGTTCTGTCTCGGTTTACATATTTCACCTCTTCAAAATGGTTTTTAAAAAATACAGACTCCTCGGCCAGTGCTACCCCTGGGGGAGGTACGTCCAAGGCCCCGGCCGGGCACAGACACCCTCGCTGCTCTGTGCCCCTCTCAGTGTTGTGGTGGGACCAGCCCTTGAGGCCCTACGACTACAAGACGCCCTTTACCTGGAGCCGCCAGGGAACCCTGAAAACCAAAGTTTATTACTCACAGGATCGGGGAACACACGGCACCTCTGGGGACACAGGGCACCCCTGGGATCCCACAGTGAGGTGGCGGAGCGCGGGCCGTGCACATGGGGGCTCCGCGGCCCGCCGGCTCTCCTGGGGAGCGCGACAAGAACGGGCTTCTCAGCGCGGGGAGAGCAAGCTCGCGCCCCAGCCGTCGTACTGGAGTCGCCCATGCTCTCGGGGACAGAGGGGCTGGCGGGCGCCGTGTCCCGGGGCGGCGCGATGGGTCGAGCCGGGGCCTCTGGAGTGCAGCCTTGCTTGGCTTTCAAACCTCAGCCAGGCACTTGCGTCCAAGAACGAGAAAAAGCGGGTGTCGGCTTGCACCACGCTCGCCCTGACCCGGCCCTTGACCCTGTCCCGGGACGTCCTGCGGGACGCTGTGTTCCCCCTCCAAGGCCCCCAGCTGGGCCGGGCTGGGCGCCTATAAGTGGGGTCCCAGCCGGGGCCGGGCGCCTCCCGCCGCCATGGAACCCCGCGGGTGCACCTGGGCGCTGGCGCTGCTGGGCGCGGGCCTGGCGCTGGCGCTGGCGCAGGGGGGCGCGGCCGCCCCGGGGGCGCCCGAGAAGCTGTGCGGCCACCACTTCGTGCGGGCGCTGGTGCGGGTGTGCGGGGGCCCGCGCTGGTCCCCCGAGGACGGGCGGCCCGTGGCTGGCGGCGACCGTGAGTGGGGGCGGGCGAGGACTGCGCCCTGGGGTCCCCGGGTGGGGTGGGGGCGCGCCCGGGGCAGGGCCAGGGCCACCGGCTGGCGGCGCGGGTGTGTACGAGCCCGCGGAGGGTGCGGCCGTGCCCAGAAATGGGTGCCGGGCGAGCGAGGCGGTCTTGCAAGTGCGCCGTCAGGTCGCGCCTTTATTTTCAATTTCCGGATTTTGATCTTCATGAATTTTTGATTTTTAAAAATATTGCATTAAAATGTGATTGATCTTGATTGTTGGGTTTTGGGGCGCCCCTTTAAATTGTGCAGGCACATCAGACGGGTGCACACAGCACGGGGGGTCTCTGGGTCCCCCCATCCATGCTGAGTTCCCCTCTGTCCCCAGGTGAGCTGCTGCAGTGGCTGGAAGGACGCCATCTCCGCCACGGGCTGGCGGCCGATGGGGACCCCTTGCTGCTACTCGCCCCACAGCTGCTGTCCCAGGCCTCTCGCCACCGCCACCACCGCCGGGCAGCTGCCGCCAACCCTGCCCACCACTGCTGCCTCAGCGGCTGCACCCGACAGGACCTGCTGACCCTCTGTCCCCATTGAACCCTCCTGGGGCGTGGCCTGGGGTGGGGGGGTCTGGTCTGGCAAGCTCCTGAAGTCACACAGCACTGTAAAGCCCCACGTCTGGGGGGATGTTGTTGATTACCGCCTGGAACAGGGAGCTCACCACCTCTCCCAGGCCATCTGTCCTGGGTGGGGCCAACTCGGGTAAAATCCACACCCCTCCCTGGCCTGGAGGATCCTCAGTTTTGCGGAGATGCCAGACCCTGAAGGTCGAGTGTGCCCCTCTCCACGGAGCCCTGGGCACCACCCTCCCTGCATGTGCTCTGCCCCTTGTTGCTGTCTCCCCATAGTGAATAAATAAGATACTGCAGAATCCGAAGCAGCTTTTTTCATTTTCTCAAGGAAAGGGGACAAGCTTTGGGTCAGCCTTCCTGTGGGATTGTCCCCTGGCAGCTGTGACCCTGCCAACACTTCCAGGAACTTGATAACAATTTGAGAGTCATCACCAGACAAAGTGGGGAAACAGAGGCCTAGGGAGATGGCGGGTTGCCAAGGTGAGCCAGGAAGGGAATGGCCAGGTGCAGGATTGAACCCAGGTCTGTGCTGAGGCCCGTGGGGGCCGGAACCTCACCTAAGCTCCACTTACAGTGGACACACACACACAGATGTCTGGATGAGTCACAGAGGACGTTTATTGATCCAATTCTGACTATTCTCACTTACATCCTCCCTTCACCCTGAGATGGGGATTGTATGAAATGACCGCCTCATAAAAATGATAAGCATTTTACTATGTGCTCCATTCACATATGTCAGTTTCCTCTGGCTGTCATAGCAAATGAGCCTAAACTGAGCGGCTTAAGAGGGCAAAGCTCAATTCCCCCCCACTTCTAGAGGCTAGAGGCCAGAAACCAAGGGGTTGCCAGGGCAGGGTCTTTTTGAGAGGCCGTGAGGGAAAATCCGTGCCTGCCCCCTCCAGCCTTTGGTGGCTGCTGGCGATCCTTGGTGCTTTGTGGCCTGTGACTGTGTCCCTCCCGTCGCTCCCTCCCTCTCCACGCGGCCTCTTCTCTGTGTCTCCGTGTATTTGTTTCTGTCTCTCACCAGGACGCTCCACTGGCCCCCGACCCCCTGAGCCAGGCACAGCTCCACCCCGTCCCCACCTTAATTACGCCTGCAAAGACTCCACTTCCAAATAAGGCCGTGTTCGGGGAGTCCAGGTGGACACGAACTTGTGAGGGACACTACTCGGTCCAGAACAGCAGGGGAGCAGCACTCTCTCCCGAGGGTGACAGGGAGCCATGGAAGGCATGTGAGCAGGGGCAGGATGAGGTCAGATCCACCGGCTAGAACCCCCTGCCGCTTCAATTCATCAGGCCCGCCTTCTCTTGCTGGGACACAGCCCCGGCCTCCACCTCCCTTCCCAGCAGTACCTGCGGCAGCCACAGGGCTTCTTAAGACCTCAAAGTCAATCATGTCATTTCCTTGCTCCAAAGGAGCCATCACCCTCAAAATAACACCATCTCTTATCACCCCCACCCACAAATCCCTGTGTGGCCAGCATCTGTGACCTCATGTCCCTTCTTCCTCCATATCCTCTTTACTCACCCAGCTCCAGCCATAGCCTCTTCACTGCAACTCAAATGCTCTCAAATCATCCCACCTCAGGGCCTTTGCACATGCTGTGCCTTCTGCCTGGAACACCCTTCTCCCAGGTCTTCCCAAGGCCACATCCTCCTCCTTCACGCCCCCACTCCAATGTCACCTCCGCAGTCCCAGCGCCCTGACCTGCTGGTGAATGCTCATCCCCTCGCCGTGTGTCCAGCCACCTTGTTTCAATTCTCCTCAGCTCTGACCCCTTCCAGTACCTTCCTATGTGACTGTCCACGGGTTGGTTTCCTCGCTCTGAGGTGGGTCAGTCTCCCCTGACCTTTCCCGTGGGGCTGGGAGGAGAAGTCCAGGGTGAGCACACAGCACACGGTAAACGCACAAGAAATCCCTGAAGAAGGCAGGGAAGGAGGCGCCCAGAGGACAGCAGAGCTGGCGAGGCGAGGGAGGCTGGGGGCGGCAAGGGTGGATTTGGAAGGAGGCCCAGGAGGCTGAGGAGGCCGTGCAGCCAGGAGCTGTCCCCCCGGGCCTCCCTCCTGAGTCTGCTGTCCAGCTAGCAGTGAGAATCAGTCCTGGGGGATATGACCCAGGGCAATAGGGAGCCACGGAGGGTGTGTGAGCAGGAGCAGGATGAGGTCAGATCTGCCTGATAGAAACTCCTGCGGCCCCCACTGCATCCACGCTCTTCTTACTGGGGTATATCTCCTACTGGAAAGGAAACCTTTACAGGTGGATGTGGACCCATCTGAGTTACAACTTGTAAATGACTTTTTAAAAAAGACAGACAGACCTCCAGATCTTCACAAAACATTTTATTCCCTGAGGACCCACCCCCCACTCCTCACCTCGCCATCTGAGGTCCCCCCACCACCGCCCGAACGCCTGTGAAGCCCAGCCCCAGACGCTGCCTGAAACCAGCAGGGCTGGGGCCACCAGTTCGCTTGGATCTCCCCAATCGGAAAGACGCGATGGGGGGGACAGTCCTGGGTCCCGAGAGCTGAGGGCCACCCAAGGCCTGACCTCCCACTTCTCCAGGCACTGGGGGAGTGTGTGTGCTGGCCTGGGGTGCGTGCAGATCCTTCTGGCCCCGGGCTGTCGCCTGGATTCTTGGGGGCACAGGCGTGGGTGCCGGGCCCTGCCAGGGACCTGGAGCTGCCAGAGCTTGAGGCAGCCAGCGGCCCCGCTCCCGCCACTCCCGTGACACCACGAGCAGGGCGCACAGGGCCGCTCATGGCCTCTCTGGCCCTCCCACCATCTGAGGGTCCAAAGCCAGGGGAGGGGTCGAGGATGGAACCCCTCTTTCTCTGGCTGAAAAACGCTTCTCGCTCCAGCGGCATGCGGACCCAGGAGTTCCCAAGTGGCCTTGAACCATGGCCAGGACTCACCCTGCATTCAACCACTGCAGCTTCACTACCGTGGAGAGGCTGGCCATGGGTCAGACCAAGGTTGGAGCTGGGAGCAGGGGGCCTTGATTCAAATGGGACAGATGTAGCAATAGCAGCTGGAACCCTAGCAGAAGTGCTTCTGCCCTTGGCTGCAGGGAAAGAGATGGTCCCTCCAGCTGAATCTAGGGAGGATGATGGCACTTGGTCTAAGCAGTACCAGGTGGGTTTTGAAGGATGTGTAGGAGTTCGCCAGCCAGACTATTCACTCGTCAAACCCTCCCTGGAACTCCCGTATGCCTGGCCCCCTCAGGAGGACAAAGGTCTCAGCCTCCTGGGAGGAAGATGCTCCTTCTTCCTAGGCGGGTGGAGGCAGGAGCCGAGAGGCTGGGGGCCCCGATGCTGCCTCAGAAGACCTGGGTCCGCTTGCCGCAGGTGAGGTTGGGCTGGCTCAGCGCCTCCCACATAAGCAGCATCTCGTAGGGCAAGAAGCGGTGCACGAGCAGCAGCTCCCGGTAGAAACAGGGGTCAAAGGAGGACATGCTTGCCGAGGGGGCCCCGACGCCGCTGGTGCGGATGCCACTGTGCGAGGCGGGCTCCAGGCCCTCCCGCCTCAGGCACATGCCCAGGAAGACGTCGTCGATGGGGAAGAGCTCCAGGCCTTGGGAGGCACGGTGCAGGGCGGCCGCAGTGAAGCGGGACAGCAGGAAGCCGCCGCCGCCGCAGTAGGGCGGGTAGTGATCGTCGGGCGTCACGATCTTCGGCACGTAGTACTTGCTCCAGGGGACCCGGATGGGGCCCACGTTGCGGATCAGTTGCCCCACGAAGAGGTGGCGGTCGGGGCTGTGGTCCTGCAGGTAGGACACCATGTTGTCCGTGTGCGCAAAGACGTCATCGTCCCCGTTGAGCATGAAGCTGGCGTTGGCGCACCGTGTCTGCTGCCACTGGAGGAAGAGAACCTGCAGGCGAGCGGAGCGGGCGTCACCTGGGGTCCCCGCCGGCCGCCCAGCGCAGCCGGCCCGGGCGAGGCCGCGGCCCCACACTGCCGGGGGCCTCAGCAGCCCGCTGGCCCTCTCTCCGCCTCGGTTCCCAGCCTCCCAGCCCTGCCTGCGGGAACGCTGCGGGTCGGCGGAGACCACGCGCTGTGCGGCACCGAGAAGCGCTGGAAAACGGTCACATCTGCAGGAAACAATTACTCGTGTGCCTGTGACCTAACGTCTACCCCGCCCCCAGACTCCGGGTCGCAGGGTGGGGACTGTATCTGTCTCCAGGGCCATCTCCACAGCCCCCAGGGTGGGGTCTCGGCCTCACAGGTGCCACTCCGGCTCCTCGAGCGCCCTTTACGGCATGCCTTTGTGCCCTGCGTTCTGAACTTGGGCGCCCAGCCCCGCGCGGCCTCAGCTCCAGGATGCGCCACAGTAACTCCCGCCCCTGCCAGGTGGCACTCGCCTTGAGTCCCTAAGGCGACCTTAGGAGGCAGGTGTGGTCTTCAACCCCGTTTACAGGGGAGAAAATGGAGGCTGTCCAGAGACAGTGCCTTGAGCAAGGTCACAAACAGAGAAGGGGGGACCAGGTCTTGAGCCCAGACCAGTCTGTGCCAGCGATGAGGGGGCCACCCGGGCTCCTTCCCTTCAGGCTCCGCCCAGCTGCCCCACCCGACCAGAGGGGTGTCTCGAGCCTCCAATCCTCCCGCAGGGGCAGAGTCTCCCTACCTCCCACCACGTGTGCATCAAGAAGGCTGTTCCTGAGTACCTACCGCACCGACCCAGCCCTCACAGGGAGACAAGCACGATCAGACAGACAAGATGGGTCCTGTGCCTCCACCCTCTCCCAACTGCTGTGGTTGGCTGGGCCCAGCCACGCCAGCTCTGGGACCCTCACAGCAGCCCTCAGAGGCGGGGGTCCCATTATTATCCCATTTCCCTGACGAGGAAATGGAGGCACAAAGGGGTGAACGATCAACAAGGGTGAACAGCATTCAGGGAGCAGGGAAGGGAGCCTGGATTCGACCGCGGCTTGGGAGCTCAGGCCCCCCTGCCCAGCTCCCCGGCCCCAGGGGAAGAAGGCCGCAGACCCTGAGGACAGCGGAGGGGCCCGGTCCGCCCGGCTGGCCCACCTGCTTGAGCGTGAGGTTGAAGAAGGAGTCGTGGAAGTCCCACTGCAGGATGTCGCCGTGCGCGCGCGCCTCCAGGGCCAGCAGGCGGTCGACCTTGCGTGCCTCCCGCGGGTCGGCGGCGGTGCCGAGCAGGAAGAGGCGGCGCAGCAGCGCGCCCCGCACCCGGCGCTCGCGGGCCCACGTGCGGCGCAGCAGCTCGCGGCGCTCGTAGTTGGCGGGCGACGACTTGATGGCGAGCAGCAGGAACACGGGCTCCGCGCACTTGGCCGGCGCGTCCTGCAGCAGCGCGAAGTCGCGGCAGTGGCGGTACAGCAGGAAGTCGCGCACCTGCTGCGGCTGCCCCGCGAAGTCGGGCTGCGCGGCCGCCGAGGCGTTGGCGCGGCAGGGGGCGCGGGGGGCGCGGGGGGCGCGGGGCGCGGGGGGCGCGGGGGGCGCGGGGGGCGCGGGCGGGCCCGGGGTGGGCTGCAGGCTCCGGCAGGGTGGCGACGGCGCGCGCAGACTCCAGAGCACCAGGAGGCCGAAGGCGCCCAGGCCCGCGGCCAGGGCCACCTCGGTCCGCAGCCTCATCCTGGTCGCCGGGCTGGGGCGGACTGGGGACCCCGGGCGGCTCCTGCGGAGAGAACGCTCCCTGACGCCCCGGCTGGGCCGCCTGCCCCCGTCCCGGCGGCGGCCAGGCGCTGCTCGGGCGGGTGGAATGTCGGGATCCCCCGCCCCGCCTCAGCACCCCACGTTGGCTCAGACAGTCGCCCACAGGTGCCAACGTGACCCCCGACTCTGAGTGTGCTCAGACCCCGGCCCCGCATCCAAACTGGCCCTCCTCCAGACCCTGCCTCAGAGACGGCCCAGGAGCCTCCCTGAAGGAGGCAGGGAGCTCCCTTTTGATCAGCTGAGAGCTGCTGGGATTCCTCCTGCGTCCCTTTTCACCTGCACCTCCAGGAAACTCTGAGCTGGGATTCTGATGCAATCATCACCTATTCTTCTTGACTATTTTTACTGGTCCTGTGACCAGAGCACAGCACCTGGCGTCTCACAGACCTCTCAGGCCCAGCATGTCTCAAACAAAGCTATCTTCTTTGGCAAACTCCTATTCGTCCTTTAAAACCCATCTCAAATGATCCATTCTCTGAGAAGCCCTCTTTGGCTCCTCAGGAAGAGTCCTGGTTCCCTGTTTGGCACCTCTTGCCCTATCTCCCCTTCTGGCCTGGTCCTGATCCTATGGGGGTGTCTGAGTCTGACTTTGTCCTCCCAAGAAGACTGGAGGCACTGAGCTTGAGGGAGATGCATGAGGGAAGCAGGGAGTATTTGAATAAATAAATTTATGAATAAAAATAAACTCATTAAGTTTCTCTCTGGCAAACTCTTATTCATCCTTCAAAACCCCAGCTCTAACATCCCCTCCTCCTGGAAGCTTTCCTCCTCTATATCTAGGCAGAACCCTTAGTCTCTGTCCAGATCCCTTTCTCAGGCTTCCCTGGACTCCTTCAACGTCAGTTTATCTGGAAAGGTGGCATCTGTGCTGTTTTCCAGCCCTGAACTTGAGGATCTATTTTTGAGTGCAGAATGAAAGTGCTGGATTAGACTCAAGGCAGGACTTACTCATTCGGCACACACTTACTGGCTCACCCTAGAGAGCTGCAGACTCTGGAGCCCAACTCCTGGGTTTAAGTCCCAATTCCACCCCTTCCTGGCTGTGTGCCCTCCATACCCTGGGCCTCCGTTTCCTGAGCTATAAAGGAAAGGGGCATCTGAGCATTCTTCCCCTCACAGGGCTGTGCAGGCAGGCAGGGAGCTCCCAGCACCTGGCGCCTGGTGGGCACTCAAGGAGTGTTAGTTGAATGAATATGTGGACCTCTGCACTTACCTCAGGCCCCCGCGGGGTGACTGTGCTGGTCTGGGGTCTCCCTGGTCTCCACAACGGCACCTGGAACAGCGTGTGGCAGTCAGTGTGTTCCGTGGGCCCCTCCAGCCACGAGTGACCCCACCCAGCTGCTGCCCGGGAACGAGGAAGAGAGTGGCTTCGCATGTCCACCTAGAGCCGGCACAGGGCCCCGTTCCGAGGTCCAGGAGGCCCTCTCTGCAACATGCCTGTCCCTGTCTCTGCACACCACCTGGCCAAGGCCTCTCCAGCCAGATGTCTCCCTTAAAGAGGGCTTGGATCCCACCCCACAGGTTCCACTGTGTGACCTTGGGAAAGAAGCTCGACCTCTCTGAGTCTCAATCTAAAGTGGAGGCAATAACCCTAAGAGTGTTGTTGTGGGGATTTTAACCTCGATCACGCTGGGCACAGTCCTGCCTCAGGACCTTTGCATGGTCGGTTTCCTCTGCCTGAGTCCCCACATTTCCATGCAGCTCCCTCCCTCACTCCCTCCTGTTCTTGCTCAGATGTCCATTCTCAGGGAGGCCGCCTCGGGACACACCATCTCGTTGGCAGCTGGGACTCCCACCGTGTTCTATTTTTCCTTCCTTCCACAGCATTTTTCACTTCCTCAAGTACACGATAGAACTTTTAAAAGTGTTGTTTCTCACCCTCCACCCACCAGAGCGCGAGCCCCTGGTGGCCAGTGTCGTTCCCCATTTTTTCTGGCCTGGCACTACGCTGGGTGCACAGCAGGCTGCGCAATGCATGCGTGTTGAGTGAACAATGAGTGAATGACTGCGGGGTTGCCACAGCGTCTGAAAACACTTTGACTTGGAATGAATTCATACATCCACTCACTGAAGCCAGGATTGACCATGCTTCTCCTGTGCGCCAGGCATCTCCTGGGAGCTGGGGACGCAGGGTGAACGGCACAGGGTGCCAAACATCCCTGCCAATGTGGAACCCACACTCTCGAAGGGGAACAAACGTTAAACAGAAACCTCAAGAAATGATGCAAGGTGGGGCTGGCCCCGTGGCCGAGTGGTTAAGTTCGCACGCTCCGCTGCAGGTGGCCCAGTGTTTCGTCGGTTCGAATCCTGGGCGCGGACATGGCACTGCTCGTCAGACCACGCTGAGGCAGCGTCCCACATGCCACAACTAGAGGAACCCACAACGAAGAATACACAACTATGTACCGGGGGGCTTTGGGGAGAAAAAGGAAAAAATAAAATCTTTAAAAAAAAAAAAAAAAGAAATGATGCAAGGTGATGAAAGCCATGGGAGGAAGGGGGTCTGGATGACAGTTAGGCTGGGATGTGAGTAGCATGGAGGAGCCGGCATGGAGGAGGTCGAGGGGAAAGGTTGCAGGGGCGGGAAAAGCAGGTGCAAAGGCCCTGAGGTGGGAATGAACCGGCAGAACCTGAGCAACTGCGGGACCTGCCTGTGGCCACAGAGCCTGAGGCATCCCCAGCCGGGGGTTCAGGAGGGCAGGTCAGGGAGACAGAAAGGCCAGTCGTCTCAGGATGAGACTGTGAACTGACAAATATGATGCGGGGAGGACCTGACTCCTAGAAGGACACCCTCCTGAGCTGCAGAGAGGCTGAACCCAGGGTAAGCGGCGAGAAAGGGGCGCTCCCGGCAGGCCAGGCAGATCCGGAGCCCCGAGGATGCATGAAGGCTCTGAGCTGCCGTGGACAGAGCAAGTCCTCACAAAGACGGTGCGACCAGAGGGGCCGCCGCCTCTCCTGCAGCGCCTGGGGACCCAGCGGGGCCAGAGCACTGTCCTCCTGCCACGCCCAGAGGGCCCTCCACCCCCGCCCGGGTGCAGTGTGGCACCAGCAGGGCTTTCACGTGTGCCCCCGCCCCAGGGGACGCCCCGAGTCTGCAGAGATTTCTGGCGTCAGATGCCGGAGGGGTGGACACACGGGGCCGCTAACAGCACTGCGTGGGGGAGGCCACAGAGGAACATGGCGCGGGCCACAGGAGGGGCCACCTCAGAAGACAACAAGCCTGCGTCAACAGCATCAAGGTGGAGAATCCCGCTCTAAACCGCAGACCCTGGACGGGGGACTGGAAGGGGCTGGGAGAGGAGAGTCGGGCGAGGACGGCGCCTCCATCTGGGTGTGGGCGTCAGCATCGGCCCCCCAAAACGTGTCTCTTACTGCCTAAGAGTCTCAGACAGAAGGCCTGCTCTGGAAGGTGCTCGCCGGGGGTGCCCGTGGTGACAGCTGCACCCAAGCTGTCTCTCAGCACACAGTCTACGCCCCGCCGACCCGACGGGCGGCCAGCGAACGTTTGTTGGCCAAACCTTGGCGTTTCCGTCTCCCCCTGCATTGCCTCCCTACCTCCTCCCTTGTCCTCAGCTGGAGATGGCATCTAAGGCGGCGGTGTCAGCATTTTGGTGAGTTACTCAGTTTTCCTGGGTCTCCCCCACGTATACGTTGTTCAGCTGTGACCTTCTCCTGCCAACCTGTCTCCCGTCAATTTAGTTCTTGGACCAGTCAGGACTCAGAGGGCAGGGGGTCGTCCCCCTCCCTGCACAGGGTCATGCAAACTCATCACACGGTGTATTGATGAGATTTATTATTTATATATTTATTATACGTTTATTAAATGGAAAATTAAACCCAAATGGCCAAGGGTCCGTTCTCCGGGAATGTGTTTTGTAAGTTCCAAACAAGGGCTCCAACGCTAAGGAAGATACTTCAGCAAATAGGAGTGTTTACAGCTCAGCCAAACCCAGGCCGTGGGGGGAGGGAGGGCATGAGGAGAGGCGGCTAACCACTAACCGACTACAGGCTCACAGGCCTGGGATCAGGGTGTCAGGACAAAATACAGCCTCTGGGGGTGGCCATTTGATTTTAATCAATTCCATTCATCCCTATTCTTTTCCTTGTTTTCCTTTCTTGTTTATTTGCAAGAACCCTTTGCATATGAAACACCCTTTGTCGTCTGCCTGCATTCCCAGCTTCTCCTCCGGTCTGTAGTCTCTCTAAAGGGAGGGGCCCCACGGCTCCTTCACCCTCCCAGCCCCTCCCAGCCGCAGGCGGCCCCTGCCTGGGGTCTGAGCTCGAGCTGGGCGCGGGGCCCCGGAGGCTTGCTTCCCCTCCTCCTCTAGCCCTCTATTAAGGCCTCCAAGATCTCCTTCCCTTTTCCATCCACCAAGGCCCCCGTTGACTCGTGACCCCTTAAAACCTCAAGCAGGAAATGTTGCCATCCTCACAATGTCCCACATCCGCTGATTGTCATGAGAAAGAACCCCAGGCTCCCCATTAGCAAGCATGAGGGGGCCGAGGACTCAGTGGCCCAACAGAGCTTGCTGGGCGCCCCTGTGGACTCTGCCACGGGGAGTCGCCAACCTGTCCTTACGGGTCCCGCTGTCTGAAGGGCTGGCCCCACACTTGCGTGGGAGACGCTGGGCTCAGGGGCTCGGCCTTGCCAAGGAGAGCACACCTCTCACTGTCTTGGACCTTCTCCAGGTGACAGAGGAGCAACTCTAGGCTTTTGCTGCAGGGGCTGGGGGGCCCCAAACCGATTCCCTGACCCCACCTGAGATCCTGCTGGACACCTCCCAGTCTCATCATAAATGGGATGACTGGGCTTTGTGAAGCCCAGAGAGCTGGTCACTCTAAAACCCCTGGGGTCTGAATAAGTCTGGGGGAATCACCACTCCCATCTTCTAGATGGGGAAGCTGAGCTCAGGGAGGTGGGCAAGAGAGAGCCAGCCATCTGTGGGATGAGGGCTGAGCTGAAAGAAGGAACCACGATATTGAAGCTGAGGCTTTGACAGATGCATAAGAGTTTACCAAGGGGAGTTCAGATGGAAGAAAGAGCACATGCAAAAGCATGGAAGGGAAGGAAAACAAGACCTATGAGAGGAGTCGCACGTGGTTTATTTTGCTGAAAAGGACTGTGGAGAGGGGCTGATTTCTGAGGCTAGAGGGTGGGGCCAAACCCTGTAAAGACTGAGCACCAGGCTGAGGGGTGGGCTGTGCCCTGGGGGCCGGGGGCTACGCAGGGGCAGAGCGGTCAGACTCCTCATCCAGCGGCGCCCTTTGCCCTGAGTTGAACGGGCGAGGTGCTCCCTCTTCCAAGTCTGTCTCCTTTCAGGTCCCCTGAGGACTGAGAACCCCACACGCCCACACACAACGGGGTCACCTGTGTCAAAGCCTTGGCACACCGGCTGTGCGGTGACACTCGGTGGCCTTGACTCATCGTCCTGGCTCCTTCGGGGCCCCAAGAGCCCCCGCTGGCAGATGGGGGGTACTGAGGCTCAGCGTAAAGCAGGATTGGAACCCAGGACTCTGATGGGTGGGCTCCGCCCACCCCATACTCCCCACCGTGTAGAGTCACTGGGAGCCCTCCCGTCCAGACCCTGAGCCTTCCAGAACCTGTCACAAGGAACTTCACCAAACATCTGGCGGAAGCTGGAGACCCGGGGCCCAGGTGGCCAGCATCCCACTGCCGGGCCACCCCCAATGCAGGCGGGCAAGGGGGTCCAGGCCGTGCTGAGTCCAATCCTTTCACCTGTTGCACTGACCCGGGGGCCATAGAGTGTTTACTGAGCACCTGCTGTATGGAGGGCACTGGGGATGCAGCCACAACCACCCCAGCCCCTCTCTGACCATATTAACACATGAAGAAGTGATTTGTTTAATGACAACTGAGACAAATGCTGTTTTAGAAAGAAGTGTCCATGGGGGGACCCAACCAGCCTGGGGACATCCTAAAGGATGATGGGAAATCACCTGGGCAGAGCCAGGGGGCGAAGGGCCTTCTCAGCAGAGGGCACAGCAAGTGCAAAGGGCCTGAGGTAGACACAAGTGGAGGGAGCTGAAGGCAGAGAGAGGAGGCCAGCGTGGCTGGAGCAGAGGGAGAGGAGAGGGATGATGGCAGGGTGGGCAGACATGCCGGGGGAGTGGGAGGACATGGGGCAAACCATGGAGACCCTCTAACATTGCAGTGAGGAGCAATGGGGAGCCATGGAGGGTGTGTGAGCAGGGGAGGGACAAATTGACTTAGACTTTTAAGAGCTCCTCTGTGGCCACTGAGGGAGGAGGGCC